TTGAGACAGGGTTTTGCTATGTAGATGAGACTGACCTGGAACTCACTATGTAGTTTAGGTTGGTCTCAAACTCACAGTGATCCTCCTGACTCAGCCTCCTGAGTGCTGGGATTACAGGCCTGTGCCACCACACCCGGCTGGGCAATGATTTTTAACAAAAGGCTCATATTTTTTTTTACCATAGTGTAAAACTGTTTTTTTTGAGACAGGGTTTTGCTATGTAGATGAGACTGACCTGGAACTCACTATGTAGTTTAGGTTGGTCTCAAACTCACAGTGATCCTCCTGACTCAGCCTCCTGAGTGCTGGGATTACAGGCCTGTGCCACCACACCCGGCTGGGCAATGATTTTTAACAAAAGGCTCATATTTTTTTTTACCATAGTGTAAAACTAGAGAGTTCATACCCATTAAAACATACACTTCATGTTGCATGTAATTAAGGCAAGGAGAATGTAGAATGTAAGCTTTGAAATGTGTCTTGTATTATATATTTAATGCATACAAAATACTGCTTAAATTCTATTGCAAAGGTAAGGACAAGTGGGAATTGTCTTGATCAACAATCACGGTGAAAACAAACAATTTTAGTAAAAAAGGAGTTGTCATTTCAGGTTCTTCAGAGGATATACTATATCGATGGTTAGAGAACATTTTCTATTTTTCCTGGTGATAAACATTGAATACATTATTAGAAGCATACTTATCTGCTATTTAGTTAACTTAGATTATCATTATTTTTGGCCCACAAAAGTCTTAAAATTTTTCATTCTTTTTTGTCTGCATCAGATTCATGTATTTATTTTAGAAGTCCTTATGAGTTAATTATCACACATACAGATTAACAGCCAGACTAACCTTTCAAACAACATAAAACACCTAAGACAATTATAGAAACCAAGAATTCTTTTCTTCCTCCTCCTCTTCTTCCTCTCTCTCCCCCTCCTCCCCCCTTCTTCCTCCTTCATCTTCCTCCTGTTTTTCTTTTTCCCCCTTCCTCTTTTCCTCTCCTTCTTCTTTCTCCCCTCTCCCTCTCTCTCTCCTTCTTCTCCTCCTCCTCCTTCTTTTCGATGATCAATTAGATCCTCCAAAGTGACTTACATGTTAAGAACAAAGTTTGAAGAAATGTCCAAGATCTGTCAAAGATAACTAGAAAGTGTTCATAATTTGTCCTTCTCATAGAACCCAGTGCAGGAGTCTTCTAGAATGAAGGCCTATGACCTCCTTTCAATTCTTCTGATTGTGTTGGTCCTTATGGGCCACTAAGCTGAATCAAGTTTGATTAAATATTGGCATTTAATATCATCCTCTCACATGAATGTAGTTACTGAAAAGAGACACAAGAATTCTGAAATCCAGATCTTCATCTTCGCGGGTAAGAAACTTCCTGAAGACTGAACAAACTTTTACAACTAAATGGCAATTAACAGATACATATGTAAATCACAAGTTATATCATACACAGCCTTTATTTTAATATTCTTAACTTTTTCCTAATGTCCAAGGATCTCATGATTAAAATATGAAAATTATGGACCGAATAAAAAAATGAGAGACTTTAAAGAAAATGAAAATGTCCACGTTGATGCCATGCACTGAAATTTCAGTCTATACATCGTGAGATTTTATAATAAAAAGAAAGTAAAAATACAATTACACAAAATATATAGATAAATAATATGCCATCACTATTAAATCATTTAGCCTAATGCTAAAGCTGCATCACATTGATGCATTTCACCTGCCAACCAGAAGACAACAAAACTTCACTATATAGTTGAGAATCAATTGAACACATTTTATATTTATGAAACCATATGACTTTTGGATTTTGATGCACCAGTAATCAATTATAATTAAGTGCTTTTCAAATACTATATATCCAAATATTGTAAGGGATATAAACTACTTTTTCATGTGATAAACACTATATTTTTTATTTCATGTAATAAAAGAACAATATGTTGTTACACATAAATCACCCAAGGAAATAACCTCATTAGAGATATTAAATGTCTACTCATAACATGATCTAAAATGCAATATTTTCCCCGGACATATTACACAGAGTCAGAAAAGACTTTTAAAAACTAAATGAAACAGTTTCTTTGCAGAGAGTGCTACAGATTTCTAATAAAATACCAGTGAGCATAAATCAAACTATAGATCTAATCTACCTAAATATTACCACCTAGTAGAAATCTTTTTATAGTATCTCTCCTAATGATGTTCTTTTCTTCTTACTAGTTGCCTTTAGGTAATTATACTGACATATTAGATTTAAATATTATAGTCATAGTAAGTTTTAAAAATTCGTATTTCAATTGTGTATTAAAGCACAGTGATTTGACATTTAACAGAGTCATCAAACAAATTCTTTATATTTCAGTGAATATAAAGAAAACAAGTACAGCACCATTTTAGGAGGGCTACATAGTCCATATCAGTTAGGAAAAAATGAGTTCTGCAATCTCCTACAATACGGGAATGAATCATAAAAGAAATATTGGAGTTGATAATAGCCGTTACTACAGCAATAAAAACATGATAAAAGGCTCTTTGACAGTATGAGACTTTGGAAACCTTGCCAAATACACAATCTCCTCTGTAGGAGCTTGCAGAATCCTGTTGTGTTTAGTAGGTCTTTAGGGATTTTTGACAACTTCTGGTTCATCCTCTTAAGATGAAATAGTCCATCAAAATGTCTTCCTTCTCAAGAGTAATCAAAGGCATTTAAACTTTAAATATGCATTTGGAAAAAAAAGCACATGATTATTTCTTAATCTAAACAAAATGCAGAATCTGCTGTAATATTGCTTTATGGTCAGATGCAAGTTTAAGTTACTAACTCAGCTTCAAATTGAGCGAGTTAAGTCAGTTATGTTTGTTTATTTGATTTCAATATTACCCACTGATTTTGACAGTGTTTTTATATTTTTGTAAGATGAAAATTCAGAGAAAAATTTTAGATGATAGTGGTCTCAGTATTTGATAAACAAAGGAGACCTTAAGACAATAGGTAATAAGATCTTGACCCAGAGTATCTCTCTTGGCTCTTAATCTTGTTACTATATTAGACACCTCTCCCTCTTCCAGGCCAAAGCTTTGCAGCTTTGAAATAACTCTTACTGACTCATACAATTTTTTTTATCATTTCAGTACTTCCTCTTGGAATCTTTCCATGAAATAGAACTAAAAGAAGGAACTTCTGATGAAGAATAGCAATCCTTCCCCCTCCTAAACTTCAATGGAACTATTTCCAGTAATTTCTTGCAACACTTGTCAAGTAATTGCTTTCTGTAGAGAATTCTAGGCATACAGAGTAACTAACATGAAAAAGGCTGAAACACCCAAAATGTAAACCAAACCACCAAGAAATGGTGAGCCCTTCTTTTTCAGATGTCTTTACAAGATCTTATTTGTCTACTGGCAAAAAATACATTGTGCCTTTAAACACACACACACACACACACACACACACACACCCCGCAATGTCAAAATTAATACCTGGAAATGTTTATGCAGTTATTCTTGACTTTAAATAGTATAAATGTTTTCTTTAGTTTAGTTTAGTTTGGATTGGATACTGATCAATTCTAACCTAGAATAATACACTTCCTGTAACTTTCACACCTAAAAATATGTTAAAATGCCTACTCTTATTTTTCCCCTCTCAAATTAGAAACTTTCATGACATAGATCAATACATATGTGTATACATAAACATGCAATTATTTCCCCAAAGTAAAATACAATGTAATTTCTTCAATTAAGAAGTAATTTAAAATGCTTCCTAGAATATCAGTGGCTTACCTTAAATATTGAACTACATTATGTTCGAAAGCTTTAAATTTTTAATGTATTATAGTAGCTATTAATAAAGAAATATAAGAGCCATTTTATGGAAAATAATTTTTCATAACAAAAATTAATAGAGAATAATAATACACAGGTAATACACTGTGACACATGATCCTAAAAAGATAAATTTGAGACATTTCTAGGTATATAGATACACCTTGAGAACATATTATTAAGTGAAATAAATTTAATACACCTGTGTAAATATCACATCATCTCTCTGGTGTGAGAAACTGAAAGTGAAAATAAGGATCAAAAAAGAGAAAAGAAAATAAGGATAAAAAAAGAATAATAAATATTGAGAAAAGGAAGTAATTGTTCAAAATTATACACAATGTGAGATACTTTGTCAATACTTAAAATGTTTTATGCAAAAAAGTATAGTCTTGGCAATGAGCTGAGAGATAGATTAGCAAATAAAAATGGATTCTTCAAAAGTTTTAATTATTACATAGCAGAGAGTTTATCCGATTATATGCTTACAGGAAATCATAGTTGGAAGAAACTATATAGTTAATCCTATTTAATTGCACACCAGTACTTGAATGCATATAATAATATCCCTGCCAAGTGGTAACCATTTGTATAGTTATATACCTGTAGTCAAAAGGAAGAAAAAGAATACTTGCTGAACACAGATTATAACTAGCAAGATATTTATTAATAACATCACTGCAATTGCTTCTACTTGTTATTATTTTAATAATGAAGTGGTAAATGCCAGACTAACCTCTGTCTAGTGTTTATTACAAATTAGATTAACAGTAAACTATAAGAAACATATGCTGACTATAATACTGGTATAGAACATGCAATGCATTGAAACATAATTGGGGTGGCTACATAACCTTTTACAAAGTTAAAAATATCTGAAAATTTAAAAAGGATGCTTGCATGTAGGTTTATAACTAGAAAAACCTTTCACTTTTAAGTTAATTCTGTACCATTGTTTAAAAATATCTATCATCTGTAAAAAATATATGTATATTTTGTATATCAAATGATATTGCATTTAAATATAATTTAAGACAGTTAAATACAAATCCATGTTACGTCATATAAAAATATATAAAAATAGAGTATTTGAAAAAGTTGGATACTCATACTAAAGAATTGATCAATCAAAATAGTTTTGTATGACAATGAAATTGAGGTATTTGCACATTTAGTAATTTCAATCATATATTGAATAAATCTGTCAATTTTTCCTCAAAAGAAAAATAATCCCTCAAATGCTACTGTAACAACAGCTTCTCACAAAAAAGCATTTGTAATTTATTTACCATTTGAAACTAAAGAGATGAAAGAAAGTTTTTAATAATAAAATTAGATGTGTATATGTAGGCCACAGTTTTAATAAAAGTTTTAATGCCTTTTCTAAATTTGGATTAGATATAGATAAGAAAATAAAAATATAGATAGTCAGTGTAGCACTATTTGTGGATGTATACAAATTCTTAATGTTTGTGCATTGAGAATATGTAATCCTTTCCAAAATATTTACATAAAATGTAATTGTAATCTTACATTACATGGATCTATAATGCCAAACAAAAGCTTTCTGAAGTAATATCATCAACAAAACATAATAAAGTAATATATGAGGAGCTATATTTTGTTTCTTACTTAAATATCATGTATTTCATCAATTTAGCCTGCAGTTACCAATCTAAGTTCACGGACAGGACTGGAGGGAACGTTTATGAAAAGCACAAGAAGTGCAGAAATAAATACACTGATGTTTTAACTGTAAAATATTTCACGTTCTATTTTTCTCATAGAATCTTTTCAAATTCCCAGTGGAACATTACTCCTGTCCCTTTCCTTTGATTTATACAATTTTAAAATGTAAGAAAAAATGTTTTTCATAAGCATTAGATCCACAAATTTACTCTAAGCCATCATAAAGACAGTATTTTCTCCTAGTGAAACATATAAGCACAATCCCCACTTACAAGTGGAATGTAATTGCTACTTTGCCTTTTTAATATTAGTGTACTTATAGAGAAGACAACACAACACTGAGCAGCATTATCCTCTTTCCCATATAATTCAAGTCTATATTTCTGTTATCACAATGCAATTCCTAGCCCACGGTGGTCCTAGTTCATATTTCAAGTAAACTTTTTTCCTAGCTTTGTCTCTCACTCTGAAACCAACTAATTGTTCAAGGCCACATATTAATTTTGTAAGGCTATAGGAGATAAGTGTTACTGCTACTTTTTAAAAAAGCTAAGTGTGTACTGGTGTGCATGTGTGTGCTTGTGTGTGTAAGCACGGAGTCACTCCAAAATACATGTGAGGCACATTGGTTGGGTCATAGATCATTATCCAAGTCACTGGCTTGTCTGTAACTCCAGGCACAGTTCTCCTGCAGGAAGTCTACACGGTCCTTCCCCTGGCACACATCCTGCTGAGCAGGATTTCTGAACAAACCTGATTTATTGGACCTTGGACATGATATGGTGATTGAAAATTGGTTATAGAGTCTTGCTGTTGTAGTCTGCTAAAATATTTTCCCACAATGTGATTCTTTGATCTTTTCATCTTAATGAAGTGGTGTTCTTTGGATAACTTTGATTTCACAACCTGCAAATAAAGAGCAAGAAAACAGTGAGACAAAAAATCAAAGACAACGTGAGACCTGCCTAGATCAATACAACTAACTCTCAAACTTGAATGCATTTCTGCCCCACACATGGTGCCCAAAGGGCACAAATATGATTTATGTAATCAAGAACCAGGGTAACTTATGTTCACAAAGATCGAAGTTAGAATTTCTGTCACTTTTCTTACCTCAGTACAACTGCTACAAATGCTCCTAAGGAAGTCTTTCAGATGATATCTCCACCACTCTTCCTTGCTGGTCCGTGTGTAAGTGTGTGTGCGTGTGTGTGTGTGTGTGTGTATTTAAATGAGACCGACTGAAACACAGTTTGACATAATACCAGAACAGAGAAACATTGCCGTGCCTTTACTGGATCTCTGCTTGAAACATGGTTCTCTAATTCTGCTACCGCACCCTTCTATAAATGGCAACCGAAACTATTTTCAGAGAAAAGAGAAAACATTTTTCCATTGCAGATACATAAAGTGACACTGTCACATTAGTGGCTTAATTCCCTTGGGCACTTAGTAGATTATAAAATGTTTATTGAGTATTAATCTAACAGCTTTGTATATTTGTAAATAAATAGGTAGCTATCATTTCAATTTAATTTTTGCACAGGTATTATAAAGCATTCACAATGCATACAAGTTTTTGTTTTTCTCAATTCTCAGACACTCAATTCCATCCTTTTATATTACCGTTTTTATGTGAATATATATTATAGGGATAATATATATATGTGTGAGATAATGTATGTATATATATATATATATATATGTGAGAGAGGCTATATTTATACTATATCAATTTATTTGACAAAATGTCATCCTGACAGAATCCTATAATTCTCAGCTTTAGAAAGGCTAATAAAACTCCATTTGTCAACACCAAAGATGGAGTATGGTAATGACCAAGAGAGACTGGGAGTCTACTGGGAAATAGGACAGGAAGAAGAGAGAAAATATTGCTAATGATTGCTTTTTTTGGTGCTGCAAATTGAACCCGGATCTTTGCGTTTGCTGAGCATGCATAGTGCTACTGAGCTACATGATATTTTAGGTGTCTTTAAAAGTGAATAGACTCCTAAGTGAAATAAGTCACACTTGTGTAAATACCTAATAGTTTGGTGTGAAAAACTATAATAGTAGACAAGATCCTAATGAGATAATTAACAATGTGAAATAGGAAGAAAATGGCTAAAGGTGTAGGGAAAGTGGGAAGGGTAAGGGAAATGTAATAAGGGAAAAGAAAAAAATATGAGAAAATGAAAAAATGTAAATAAAGTGTTTGTAAATGGGGAGGGAAGAAGGGGGTGAAGGGAGGGCAGGGACAAGGGGAAAAAATGAGAACCAAGACATGTCATGTAGAGGTGCAAGATCCCAGTAATGAATGTAATTGCACTGTATACCTAGAATGTACCAATAAACTCAATAAAAAGGAAAAAAAAGTGAATAGCAGAGGCTGGGGATATAGCTCAGTAGTTCAGCCACCTGCCTCGCAAGCACAAGGTCCTGAATTTGATCCCCAGCACCCCCCCCTCAAAAAAGGAATAACAAATCACGAATTCCATTATTTTAATGTTGGAATATTTTAACTGTAAAACATTGTCTTCTGCCAATATTTGGACACAATAAACTATTACTGATGACTAATGAAGTAAATACTGGGTCACAAAAATATTTCTTATACTTTTGAGTGCTCTGATTTAGCTCCACATTTTTTGAATCCATACAAGAGAATGTAATGAAAGTAGTTATAAAAAATAGAATATTTGGAAAAATCACATAAACTATAGTTAGAAAGTAAGTATTTTTAGCTACATTCTATGTGAACATGATCCCTTATAGTAGTTATGTGAATAGAAAACCTGTAAGGATGTATATCAAAATGGCAGCAGTAGTGACCTTTTGGTGGAGGATTTTAGGCGATTTTAAACGGATTCTTGTAACTCTTGATCTTGATGTGTTCCTTCTAATATATTGAATGTATACTACTTTGTAATAATAAAAATGTTGAAGCAATTAGCATTTTAAAGACAAAAGATAGCAGTAAGGTATTTTAAAACCAATTACACCTTTTTAACCCCAAAGAAATGAATTGCTTTCCTGTAGCTATGGGAGGTTTGGTTTTTCATGGTCAGGCCCTTTGATCAAGTGCCTCTTAGGAAGGGCAGAGAAAACAGCAAGTTGTAAGGAATCTCTGTGGATGGTAGTTTAGAGCTCAGGTTGCTGTTAACCATCAATTAATACTCCAAATCCCAGGGTTGCAAGTTTTGCTTATGAGCATCTCTTTCCACCTCTCTTTGGTTATACTAACACTCCAAATGTAATAGGCTGGAGAGGTGTACAGTGTATCACTGAAGGGTTCGTCTACATAGAGGAGATTTGAAGATAAAGAGTCAATTTTGCTTATGGTAATATTGATTTAAGTTCTACCTTTTACAGTTGCCTGATGGTCTGCATACTAGTTACATGTAAAATAAAAATACACAAAAATGTTTAAATGTTATTTTAATACTTGGTAAGATTTAAAAATTGAGTATAATGTTGCCTTACAAATGTTGGATAGTGCTAGTGTAAATATGTGTGACGGTCTTCAATTAAGATTCACAAATAAAATCCAAAAATATATATCCCACTGTATTTACAGAAATGCACAGCATTCACTAAAAATCAGTATTAACATTTTGCCAAATCTCAATGGGAAGGTGGATAATTGATTTCTATTTTTAGAGATCACTATTGATTTCTGAGAAAAGATGAGATGACGGAGTTTTGTCTAGTTTCTGAAGCCAAGCTAATGCCTCCCAAAGTGCTAATCCTTCTGTTATGCTATTTGAGATGAACCCTTACACACCCTTGTTAGTGACTGGACAAAAAACCCTATACCACTGTGCCACTATATTTACTTGGTTTTCTTGGAAAACAATCATGCTGGAAATAATTGAAGATTTTTTTTCCTGATTCCTTTGTTAAGTCTCTATTACCTTAATACTCAATCCAGAAAGCTGCCAAATCTATGCATTATTTCAATGTTTTGGTCAAAATACAGATATTAAAAATCCTCGCATAATTCTGTTATGAAATTAAATCTAGGAGTTTAAAAACCTAATAATATTATGTGATATACACTAGCACATACAAGGTATTTCAAGCACAAAAAATACTTTAAGATTATGAAATATTTTATTCCAAGATATTTGCAAAGAATTATGTGATATTATATGATTATCATGAGGTCTTCTTCCAAATTGTAAATTTGATACAAAAATTAGAGTTTTTCTATAGTCTATGAATAATTAATTTATTCATTTAAAAAATCCCATTACAATACAAAACAACTTCACTAAATTCAATAATGGGATGCAAGTGAAGAAACGTCAGAAGTTTAATGAGACATTAAAAAAATACAGGAAATAAATACCATGCTTGTACAAAAACATAACATGGTAAAGTTTCCTTACTTAGTTGATTACAGTGCTATTCCAATGGTAAACAGCAGGATATGGGAGAAACAAGACAAATTCTAAAATGCATCATAAGCAATAATGTAGGAAAATAATAAAGGCCATTTGAGACAGATAAAAAATGATGACATGCGCCGGGGATTTAGCTCAGTGGTTTGGTGGCCTGCCTCTCAAGCGCAAGGACTCAAGTTCGATCCCCAGTACCAAAAAAAAAAAAAAAAATGATGACAAAGGGGACTTTAGATATTATCCATTCATTTATCCATATGAATCAAGTCTGCCATCAGCTTGTGGGTGAGATAGTTGTCACAGCTCTGTGCTTCTTTCCTATTTCTTACATCTCTCAGTTGTTCTTTTAGAAACTTCTGTGATAAACCAATTCCTTCTTAGTCACTGAATTGATCCCATAGCTTCTTTGACAAAATGAAAACTGTTTTACAAGAGAGACTGCTGTTTTTTTCTCCTTTCCCCCACACCCCTCTGCAGTGTATTTGGTATGGGAGGTAGGAAGAAATAGAAAGGGAGCTAATGGTGGTAATGATCACCCTTCGTTTGTCAACTGCCTTTGTGTGTTTTTTGGGGTGTGTGTGTGTGTGTATGTGTGTGTGTGTGTGTGCGCATGCGTGCTACAGACTGCACCCAGGGCCTTGTGTATACTCTGCCACTAAGCTATACTCCCTACCCCACAAAGCTCATGGTCTCTAAATTCTGATTGTAGGTGACTTTCTCCAAACACCCTCTTGTTTCTTCAGGAACACCACTTTTCTATCCTCAGCCTTTATTTTGATCCTGTGAGCAGGTGGGGCAGAGTCTGGGTAAATGGGGTAACATATATTGTATTAAAAGTATCTATGTGTCTCTTCCCCATTATCTGAAGTTAGAGATCTAAATTAATAGTTTTTGCCACAGAAAATGTCATGTATTATACACTCAATAAATTTTCATTAAACTGGGAAGTGTATTATACTTTGTATTATTTTGTTCCTCCCTAGTTACGATTGAAAATTTCTTTTCATGGAGCAATCTTGAACACCATGCTTTCTGGAATTTTATGGCAAAATACAGGCTAAAGGCTGAGTAAAAGAAAAATTCAGTAACACTGGAAAGAATAAAAATGTTTGTACTGTAGATTAAAATGCATTTCATAAACTACTACTGTTTCCTAAATGTTTATAAAGAAATAAGTTATAAATATAGCCCAAATTTATATAAATCTAGTGATCATAAATGTTGACAGCCTAATACTTTTAAATGCATAAGATTAAAGTCAAGAAGGTAGGTAAATGGAGCTGTGTAACCAACAGCAGATAGTTTTCAACAGAGAGGGAAGAAGTTTTTGTTTTTATCATTTATACTTATCTTTCAATTTTACACCGAGAAAGAACTCTTATAATTCTTTTGTAATGAAAAAGCAGAAGAGAAGCAAAATAAAGCTGAACCTTGTAAAATAAAATGTTAGTGGTTTTTTCCGTTTAATAATATCGCTGTTTTCATCTTCAGTGTAGTCTGCGC